TAACACAAGATAGCCTCTGAGTAGATACTTGTGGATTAGATGACATATGGCTGAATGAAGAAGCCAGAGTTATCTACACATAGAACACTAGAGCTGGGATGCCCCTTGGAAGTTATCCAATTCTTTCATTTTACAGGTAAGAAAACTGAAGCTCAAAGAGGAGAGGAAGTTTTCACAGGTTACCAAGAGACTTACAAACTCAAGTTCAAGAATGTATCTCAAGGCTCATTCTGCAATCCAGAGGTCTGAACATGCAGAGAGGCCTCAAACAGGGAAATAGGAGTATGACTTAGCAGAGACTTGCTGCAGGGACATAGGAGTGTCTACTGGCCATCCAACCCCTCCGTATCAGTCAGCTCTTGCTGCACAACAAATCATGCCCAAAACTCAATAGCTTAAAACAAATAAGTATTTGCTTTTTATTCATGAGTTTCTGAATCAGCTGGGTAGTTCTTGGTCTGGGCCAGGCTCAGATGATCACGTGTCTCTGGGCAGCTGGCAGGTCAGTTGGGGGCTGGTTGATCCAGGATGGTCTCAGCTGAAATGTCTCTCTGCTCCACATGGTCTCTCATCCTTCAGGAGCCTAATCCACTTTCAGGCTTCTCTGGGTCAGCTGCATCTTGACTTTGCTCCCTGAGCCTTCCCTCCCTCACTAGCACTAAGCTCAGGTCTGCATGGGGACTTCCCCTGGTCAGAACTGATATCTCCTGCCACAGTCAGCATCCATCTGATCCTTATCTGCCTCTGTTTTCCCTCTGCTGGTCTCCTGGGAGCTTGCCCAACCTCCAGCCTGGTTTGCTGTCCCCCTGTGTTTGCCCTTGTGATGTGCAGTGCCCACCTGCAGTGGGTACCTGCTGGCCACCTGGCTGTCTTCCACCTGTGCTCAGTTCCACCCAGGTGGAGAGATGAGCCCAGAGTTATGGTGGGACTAGGGGCTCTGGGATCTTGAGGGTCGATGGGCAGCTGGCAGAGGGAGGCCCTCAGGGACAAGCTCTGGACATGGCTTTTGGCTTCAGAAAAGGCAGCTGAAGTGCTTAGAAGAAACTGCAGGGGTGAGCAAGGCCATCTGCACCTCTGTTCCCACTTCCAGGAGCCCCAAAAGCTTAGGAACTATGAAGTGCAGAAAACAGCCACACTCTACAGACAGAACAACCGAGATGTAGCACTGTAAGGGGTTGCACAAAGTCATGAAAGTGGTGGCACCTCCCAGTCCAGGCTGCAGGAGTGTCCTCATTGGTCCATTGTTTTCAATTCATCCTCCACACAGCATCCTGAGGATCACTTAAATATGAATCAGATCCAGTCACTCTCGTCCTGTATTCTTCCAAACTCCATGCTGGGGCCCACATGGCTCCAGGTGACGGGTGTGTTCCGCACTCCGGGCTGTGCCAGATGCTCTCCTTGCCTGCCTTGCTCCTGAATCTGGCCTTTTTGCTGTTCTGCAGTGAGTCATCCTCTTTCCCGTCGCAGGCCCTGTGCACTTGCTGCTGCTCTGCTTGCTTTTGCTGAAGTCTTTCCCCAGCTCTTTGCATGGCTGACACATTCTCGTTTTTTATCTCAAACTTCCCCTCCTTACAGAGGACTTTTTTTTTGTTGTTGTTGTTTTTGTTTGCTTGTTTATACCTCTTTATTTCTTGGCACTACAAAATGACCCAGGCTTGTCTTGTATATTTCCGGCTCCAGACCTAGAATCAGTCATTTCTTCAAGGTGCCCTGGTTCATTGTATTGGAGAATAATACTAGAAGCCAATATCTAGGTGCTAGGTGTGCTCATTGCCAACGGTGTGTTCCATTGAATTTTAATTTTGGTTATTTAAATTTTTTAAAAAACTTTATAATTATATTTATTCATTGTTTTTTAAAAATTTTATTAGCATATTCGTTGCTACAAATCATACTCGTTCTTTTTTTTTTTTTCCCTTACTGTTAAGGGAATCGCAACCCTCGGCTCGGTGTTGTCTGCACCACACTCAGCCAGTGAGCGCACCGGCCATCCCTATGTAGGATCCGAACCTGCAGCCTTGGCGCTACCAGCGCTGCACTCTCCCGAGTGAGCCACGGAGCCGGCCCGAATCATACTTATTCTTTATGCCCCTTATCCAATCTTTCTCCTTCCTCTTCCTTCCTTCCCCCTTCCCGTCCCCCCTCTAATAACCATAGATTTGTTCTGTCCATCTGATAGATTAACTGTTCTTCTGTTGGTTTGTTGCCCAGATGATCTGTCCAGTACTGAGACAGGTGTGATCAAGTCCTCCCCTATTATCAGAAATCAGATGCTTCTTCTATTACTCTGGAGTGTGCTCTGTGGAGAGAGAGAGAGGACCTCTTTTTTTGGGGGGGAGTCTCGGCTGGTGCCTCCGCTTTTGCGGCAGCCGTGTCAATTGTGGTGGCTATGGTGGGCTACCTGCGTGGAGATGGTGTTTTTGGTGTGCTCTTTACCTGGTTGCAGCTGGGTTCAGCTTCCCCCAGCTACATGCCTCAGGACCAGAGAGGCCTTTTCTGAACCCTTTACCTAAACCAGCCTTCTCCAGTTTCTCACAATTCAATTCACCCTGTTTATTTCCTTAAGAGCTATCACCCAATCGGTGTTTATCTTATTTGCTTATTGTCTGTTCTGCTACCTGAATGTAAGCACATAAAGCTAAGGGCTTTGTCTTCCTTCCCCAGTGCCTGGCACAGTAAGTATCTACGGGAGGAATGAACTGTCAGAGTTGGGATCAGACCCCAGGCTTTCCAGTTCCAAAGAGCAGCCCTTTCTTCTCTGCACTGAGCCCTTGTAGGTGTGCGAGTCCCCTGAGGGCCTGGGAGCAGTCAGAAAACCCAGAACCATACATGAGGGGGTTGGGCCAGCCTGCCCAGCTGACTGTGTGTCTGCAGGGCCAGGGCCCTGTGTCGTAGGCATCTCTGTATTCAGTTCTCACTCTTGCATCCCACCTGCCCAGGGTCAGGTGCACAGACACGTCCAAGGCAAGCTCACCCTCTTCTCTGTTGCTACTGTTTTTGAGTTCTCCCGCTAAACTAATGGTACATGAGGGGGTTGGGCCAGCCTGCCCAGCTGACTGTGTGTCTACAGGGCCAGGGCCCTGTGTCGTAGGCATCTCTGTATTCAGTTCTCACTCTTGCATCCCACCTGCCCAGGGTCAGGTGCACAGACACGACCAAGGCAAGCTCACCCTCTTCTCTGTTGCTACTGTTTTTGAGTTCTCCCGCTAAACTAATGGCATCCTCATGGTGTGGGTCAGAGTCTGGGGAAATGGGCTCCAGTAACCAGTGCATCTGAAGTCTCAGCGACTCCTACCAGCTGAAATTTATTTCTTGTCCATGATTACGTACCTGTTAGGAACTGGTTGTCTACTTTAATCGGGGCATCAGCCTGAAGGAGCTGCCTCTACTGGGACCTCTGATGGTCCCACAGCAGAGGGACAAGAGCCTTGGTGAGCGCACACTGGCCCCTGAAGCTTCTGTGTGGAATGACACACTCCATTGTTGCCCACGCTTCGTTAGCCAGCATGGCACCCACGGGGCAGCGGGTAGTTCTGGGTGAAAGCAGTCTATTTTGGCCACCATCCACTTTTAGACTGCTTACTTCTCCACACATAAACAGGAGGACTCTTTAAGGCTCTTCATGGCACAGAGACAAGACAGGGAACACGCATGGTGACTGAGCCATGGGACCCTGGAGCTGGCCCGGGGATTCCCTGCTTCTGTCATCCAGTTATGTCCTTGCGGCCCCAGGTAGAGCTTCCTTTTGGATGACGACTTTCCTTTTCATTCACATTATCACGGCCACGGAAGCTCAGCACTGGCATCTCAGGCACCTACAGAGCGCAGCTCAGCAGTTCTGTGGAGGCGGGGGTGGCAGCCGCACTGGTGGCTCTGAGGGGCCTATGACGGCCAGCGGAGAGGGCGTGGCAGAGGTGCTCAGATTTATCTTTAGCTTTATTTTCTACCTTAATGAAATAAAGAAAGGTAACTTTTATATTGTCAAAGAACGAACAGAACCAAGATTTACGTTTCACAATTTATGTAACCGATTTCATGTTCTTCTGACAGTTCCACCATAAAGCGTGGAGGAAAGTTGCTAATCCACAGACCGGAGCTATTTAGTGACAAAGTTTTCATTGATCTGTGACAGAA